ACAGGAAAGCCAAGTGGCAAAGAGGTCACAGTGAATTAAAGAATGATGGATAAGACTGTGTACAGAAAGAGGAGTTGGAAAACTTTTTTCTTTAAAAATCCATATAAAAGCAGTTATGAACATTTTCCAGCTTACTAAGTAATTTCACACCCCTTTTATTAAGTAGTTTTTTTATATAACAAAAACACTTTTACATTTTCTTTCATACAAATAAATGCAAAATAGGGACATTCAATGCCCATTTTATTTGATAAGAAGCATGTCACATTACTTTTTAAATTGATGGCTTAGAAACGTATTTTCAGTTTGTGACTACCACTAAAATAATGGGATTTACTGTTGACCTATATTCAAGTTTATTATTGTAGATGCGTTATTGTTCATGGAGGTTAGTCTGGCATTTATTTTTCATTGCAACTGACTTTATTGTTTTCAATGCTTGATAAATGTGTTGGGATTTCTTTCATCACCATTTTACCTTTCGTATTTGTAAATAGAGATGGGTAAAAATATATCAGCTTTATTGCTGATAAGGCTGGATTGAAACATAAAGATTTCTACTCCATGTAAGAATTAGGCTAACATAACTTCTTTTTCTTCCTCCTCCTCACTCCCTCCCCACACTTTCCCCTTTCACTCCTAGTTGTAGAATTAAGAAGCACTGACTTGGTGAAATTTACTTAACACACATCAACCCCACACCCTTCTACATAGCAGGATGGCCCAGAGAAGGGCTGAGATATACATAACATCTACAAGTCCCTTTCCCCCAATCTCACCAGAGAAGTCATTTATTCATTCATTCAGCAAATATTTATTGAGTGCCTACCATGTACCATGCAGAGTTCTGGAAATAGATGTAGATATGTAGATAGATGTATCAGTCAGCCCAGGTTCCTGAACAAAGCAAGCCTTGCCTTTGTGATGCTCACATTCCAGAGGGGAGAGACAGCCCCAAATCAAATAAATAAACCAGTAGTTACTAAATAAATCAGAGAGTGATAAGTGCTATGAAAAAACATGAACAAGGGTAAGGGAAATGAGGATGAGAAAGCATTTATGATAAGGAGACATTTGAATAGAAACCCAAAAGCGTCTGCCACCTGCTTTAAGAAGAGAGGAAGCCTAGGCAGAAGGGTGGAAGCTATCTTCCAATACTGAAAAAACGGGGCTGAGTTTCTATTTTGTCTTTTGGATGGAACATAAGAGTGGAGGAGAAACCAGCTGTTCTTTTTTCACCACTGCTCTTAACAAAATCCATGATCAGCCAGGGGTATATCTGCCCCCTTGTGGGAGGAGACCAGCTGTTTATCAGCACATTCTCACATTCATGAAGCTACCTGCACACCAGCTGTACTCCTTGATGTACCCTCCTGGGCCCCACTGAGACCCCAGAAGGCTCTGCTATAGGGCAGAGTAGTATATTAATGAAATTAACTTCAAAGTCAAGTTGACCTCTATAGTGATAATTGATTCTCTGTTTTAGTTACTCTTCCACATTATGCTTAGCTGTGTTGTGCAATATGGATAATCAGAGATTTTGCAATGAGCCCAAATGATATTGTAAATAATATAATACCAGCCAAAAGAGAAAAAAAAAAGCTATAAATTAGAACAAAATTAAACCTCTCTGATTACTAAATTTCCAGGAAAAATGTAAAGTCCCCAAATTAAAACTCTTGGCTTTATAAATTAAAGCAACAAAAAATAATCTAGATTTTATTCTTCTCAAATTTTTTATTCAGCTCATCTTCAGCCAGAAAGCTTTTGTTCAAGTTCAAGGGTGCAGTCAATGTTATTAGAACACTCTTCTGGCACGTATGAGATCGAAATGATCCAACTCCAAATCTCTCAAGGATCCTACTTGTTTTAGGTTCTGAGGAAATGGGACCTGTAAGATAATCATTGCAGTAATCTCACAAAAAACTTAGGATACACAAGCATAGCCCCAACCCCTACAAAAGTTATTTCAGCCAAACGATGCATGTAAACTCAAATATCTCTATTGTTGTTACCAGAAAACATTAGAAAAGAAGAGCACCTGGATGCACCCTAGCTAGGATGCAAGGGCATCAGTACGTGTTAGTTGTCAAGAGTTCACAATTTGTGAATTTAGAGTAAGTTGGGAGGATAAGAATTCAAGTAGAGCACACATTATATTGGGATTTATATGCTTCTTAAGTCTCTTTTAATCTATAATCATTCACTCTTCCTTTTTTCCCCCTGATGCTATTTATTTGTTGAGGAAACTAAGTAATTTACCCTGTTAAATTTTCTATATTCTGAATTTGATTGAATTCCATCTCCATGGTGTTCTTGAACATATCCTCAACCCTCTAACTTTTGTAGATGGGTCATCAGACCCTAGGACTGACTTAAAATCAGGCTCAATTTTGGATTTTGGGGAGCAGGTTCAGCTGCATATTAAACACTTGATACTGTTTTATTTTTTGTTATTTGTTTCTTTAACCCCTGGTTGCCTTGAAGATAGCACCTTTCTTGCTTTTCTTTTCTCCTGGCTTTTGGGCCCAACATTTGTATATCTATTAAATAAAATGTTCTAGATTCCATCTCTTAGAATCCTCAATACAAAAAGACAGAAAGTCAAATTAATTCAAATCTTCAAAAAGCATCTATTTGTAAAACAGATCATTTCTTCCTTTATCGCTTTGAATTATGTCATACTTTTTGAGAGGTATTTAGCAATCAGGCCAACTTCCAACACAGCTCTGAGCTTGAACTATCGTTGTCCTACATACCTCCTGTCTACTATATATTTCCACACTTTACTTTAGAATCCAAACTTCACAAATTGCAAGTAACTAGAAGAACTGGGCTTCAAAGCATTATGTTAATTTAATTGAGGCTATAATACTCTAATTTTATGTTCTGTGCTTAAGTCCTAGAAATCAAAAGGCAGGAGCACAAAATACGATATTTACAGGATAATAGCCCATCATAAAGATTCCACAGTAGTTCGAAAGAAAACTGTATTTGCAGTGAGAAGACCTGAGTCCAGGTTCCTTGCCCATCACTTTTATTACCTTGGGAAAGCAACTTAAATTAACTGGGATTTGGTTCCCACATCTATAAAATAAGAGCAGGAATCTGGTGTATCTCTAAAGTGTCTTCCAAGTTTAATGATTCTGTGATTCTAAGTATACTCCAATTTATTGTATATTGTGAGCCTCAAAGCCATTGTTTAGTTAAAGGTAAAATTTCTTCTCACATCAAAAGAAACTCCTCTTATTTAATCAGTGGAGATTCAGCCTCAGAAAGGAATATAAATTACTCATTCTCTGGCCCACACTTTACCTAAAATATTCTTTTTCTTTTTTACCTTATACGTCATCTTATGATCTGAAAAATTTGACAGATTTTGTCCTCTCATATGATACAGATGAGGGTGTAAAGTATTAATTAATTATTTTATTAATTCAATAAACTAGCATCTTGTGCTTACTTTGGTCAGGAACCCTGCTGGGTAATGAATATAGCAATGAACAAAACAGGCAAGGTTTCTGGTTTCAAACAGTCTAAGGGGGAAGGGAAATCATAGACAAGTAAAAAAAAATAAGATAATTTTAGACAGCGGCAAGGTCTGTAACGACAACATACAGTAGGATGAAGAAAAGGGGAATGGGGGGAGGGCTACACTTTATGTTGGGAGATTAAGGAGAGCCATTCTGAGGAATGTCACTTAAGCAGACACTTAGATGATACAAGTAACCTGCCACATGAGGACCTGGGAAATGAGTGTTCTAGGCAGAGGAACAGCAAGAGCCAGTTCCTAAGCTGGGAGCAAGCCCAGTGTGCCCTGGAGTGATGAGAAATGTAAGGTCATGGCATAAAGGGCTTGGACGCCAGGCCATGGAGTCTGGTATTATCCTTAAGACAGGAAGAAAAGCTGAATAATTACATACAGGGAAATGTGGTCTGATTTGCATTTTTGAAAAACCACCCTAGCTTGGCCATTCCCTGTTTGAGGATCACTCACAATTCTGTCTTCCTAACAGTTTTTGCCAGAATCCTGCGGGCTCCTGAATCCCACAATGTCACCTTTGGCTCCTTTGTGACCCTGCGCTGTACAGCAACAGGCATGCCTGTCCCTACCATCACCTGGATTGAAAATGGAAATGCTGTGAGTGTCACATGTGTGGGGACTTGTCTGGGGAAGACCCATGTGTGTTGAATTTCAGGATAGAACATGTATTTGTAGAGTTACCCCGATCTCCATCATTGGTCCCACATACACCACTTCTTAAGCCTTCCAACATCTTTGTCCTAAGACCAACTGCTATAGAAACTGAACTCAAGTATTTTGCATCTTTCCTTGTATTGTGGGGGAATAGTAGAAAACCAAATCTTTTTTTGTGTTTTTGTGTAAAAGGGAAGTGATAACAGTATCTTTCTGGACAAGAAAAATAATTTTCGTAAAACTCATCAGTGAAAGATTAGTTCATTGCTGGAGGCTCCTTTGATAAAAAATAATCCGTGTGGCCAGGTGCGGTGGCTCACGCCTGTAATCCTAGCACTCTGGGAGGCCGAGGCAGGCGGATTGTTTGAGCTCAGGAGTTTGAGACCAGCCTGAGCAAGAGCGAGACCCCATCTCTACTAAAAATAGAAAGAACTTAATCGGACAACTAAAAATATATAGAAAAAATTAGCCGGGCATGGTGGCATATGCCTGTAGTCCCAGCTACTCGGGAGGCTGAGGAAGAAGGATTGCTTGAGCCCAGGAGTTCGAGGTTGCTGTGAGCTAGGATGACGCCACGGCACTCTAGCCCGGGTAACACAGTGAGACTCTGTCTCAAAAAAAAAAAAAAAAAAAAAAAATTAATCTGTGAATCCATTAGAATCCATGTCTGTCAGTTCAACATTCTTTTCTTCATCTTTGGTAGTGGTAACATTAAATAATGACTGATGTATATTAAGTGATTATTTTTGAGCCAGGCCCTGTTCTAAGCACTTTACATATAAGTATTCATTTATTCATTCTACAAATATGTACTGAGCATCTGAACATCAAATGCTATTCTAGGCCCTGTGGATATAACAGCAAACAAAACAAGCAAAGTTCCATGCCCTCACAGAGCTGACATTCTGATGGGGAAAGACAGACGATAAAATAAAACAAATAGGAGAATATATATTGTATGTGGACAGTGTCAAAAGCTATGGAGAAAAATAAAGCAGGAAAAGGAGAAAGTTCAACAGAAGGAGAAGGAGAAACCCACCTACACTGTTGGTGGAAGTATAAGTTAATGCAGCTACTGTGGAGAACAATGTGTATGTTCCTCAAAAACCTAAAAATAGAACTGCCATATGATCCAGCAATCCCAGCTAGGCATATATCCAAGAGAAAGGAAATCAGTATATCAAAGATATATCTTCACTTCCATGTTTATTATTCACAATAGCCAAGAGATGGAATCAACTTAAGTATGCATCAGTGGATGAATGGATAAAGAAAGTGTGATATATATACACAGTGGAATATTATTCAGTCATGAAAAGAATAAAATCCTGTCATTTTCAACAACATGGATGGCACTGGAGGATGTTATGTTAAGTGAAAAAAAACAGGCACAGAAAGACCAGTATTACAGGTTCTCACTCATATGTGGGAGCTAAAAAAAAAAAAAAAATTGAACTCATGGAGGTAGCAAGTAGAATGATGGTTACCAGAGGCTGGGAAGGGTAGTACAGAGTGGGGCGTAAAGAAAGGTACAAAAATACAATTAGATAGAAGGAATAATATCTAATGTTCAGTAACACAATATGGCGACTATAGTTAATAGCAATTTATTGTATATTTCAAAATAACTAGAAGAGTGGGATTGGAATGTTCCTAATACAAAGAAATGATAAATTCTTGAAATGCTGGATATCCCAGTCGCCCTGATTTGATCATTACACATTGTATGCTTGTATCAAAATTTCACATGTGCCCCATAATTATGTACAACTATTATGTATCCATAAACATTTTAAATTAAAAAAAAATTAAAACAAGAAAAGTCAACCGTAGGTGACCTTTAATAGAGTGGGTAGGAAGCCTCATTAAGACAAAGACATTTGAACAAAGATCTGAAGGAGATAAAAGGGGAAGTTATGTAGATAACTGGCAGAAGATAACTACAGACTGCCTCTGAGATAAGGGTGTACATGGCAAGTCAGAGAAACAGCAAGGAGGCCAGTGTGGATAGAGTTGAGTGAGCAAAGAGGTAAGGGGTGTGAGTAGGCATTGTGGATCATATGGGCTCATGTATGCCATTGAAACAACTTTGGGGTTTTTTTTTTGAGCAAGATGGGATGCCATTGTAGGTCTGTGTCTGTTGTCTTTTTTCCAGGTGACTCTTTTTCATTGTGTTGTGTTTCCTTGTGTGCCTAGTTATCTTTAATTACCTGCTGTTCATGGTTTTGAAGGTACTAATTCGAGGTCTAGATGAAGGCACTTTCCTCCAGAGAGATTTTTTGCTTGTTTCTGCAAGGGACCAGCAGCTACTACTAATCTTAGACCATCTTAAACTAATCTCAAGGTTTGAAGCTGCTTGGATATCCTAGATAATTATAACATGAGCTGCAATTATTTGTCAGGGCTTCTTGCTTGTAGTTGACACTGATATCATCTCTCTGATACCTCGTTCTTTGAGCTGTTAATTTATTCTGTCTCTTATTAGATTTCACATATTTATGGACTCTAAGTTTTAATTTGTCTCCTAATTCCTTAAGTCCATCCAAAAGGAAAGTTCAAATTTTCTGAGGTTGGAGAATTCTCTCAGGGGAAATAAAATTTTCTAAGTTTGTTGTAACTACTAAAAATATTTTTTCAGAATTTTAATTATTTTTAGTGTGAGGGTTGGTCTGAATAACCTAACATATCAATGTCTGGAACAGGATTCTGTCATGGATTATTACTGTCATTATAGTTTATAAATTTTAACCACTTTGGTTTGGTTTGCACTTAGTTTCTAGTTTCTGATACTCTTTATGAGGTTAAGAAAATGTATTTTTATTTTAATTTAATAATTATTTTTAATATTAACATATTTTAAAATCAATAAAACACCTTATCATCAATGATATCAACTTTTTGATGAGCATGTAATTTTTCACTTTAAATTGCAAAGTTTCTTTTATCTTGAACCATTCTTTCATTTCTTGAATAAATTGCATTTTTGTTTAATTGTGTTGTTTCAATTTGCTGTAATTTTTATTTAGGATTATTGCATTTATTTTCAAAAACAGGAATGGTCTATTCTTTTCGTAAGCTATCATGATCAGGTTTTGTTAACAATATTTTTCCAGACTTACAGAATAGTCGAGCAAGTTTACATATCTTTCCTTTGATACAGAGCTTGAGATGAGGATGTTGAGAGGCAAATCTCTCTTAAACTCAGATACATTTTCCTCTACTATACCTTTAATTATTGCTTCTCTCTTCTCCACATTCTTTCTACTTAGACACCTGTTAAATGGATTTCGCTCAAAACTTCAATCTTTCTGTTCTTTACGCTCTGCATAATTTTATGGAAGGACAGAGGGAACCCTACTTAATCTATCAATTTATTCTCAGGCTCCACCATAGTTGTCAACACAGGAACCCACAACAAAAAAATCTCATTTACAACCTCTAGCTCATGGGTAGGTGCCTCAGCCTGGTGCTATATGCATACATAATAGCTCCCAAAGTTCTTCAATTACTTTACTAACTTTACTGGCTTTCCATTCTCCTCTCAGTAAACTTCTTCTTTTGTGTTAGGTTCTAGCTACTTAGTTGATATTAATTTTTCTATCAATGCAATCACATCTCTTTATCTTCTGAAAATTGCTGAAAATGTCTAGTCCTTTGATTACGATACCCTTTCATCTGTCTATGAATTTATTTTTACTAATTTTAGATTTTATGTATCTTTTGGAATTTCAGGTTGGAAAAAAGGGGAGTTAAACATGTGAGATAAGATTGTTATTGGTGTTGAACAAGCATGATTCACATGTAATACAACCTCATTATTTTCTCTGCCCTTTTAAATTTATTCAGCAGGATGAGTTATTTTGCCACCCTTGGAACCTACCTTAAGCAAGCTCTGTGATTTTTCTAATTACTTTTAGGTGATTTTAAATCATTAAAATCATCCGAATTTAGTCATTTTAAGTGTCTAGTTCTGAGTAATAACCAAAACATCAGTGGCATCCACAGGTGAGACATTCCCCTCCCACCCTTCTCAAGATATTGCAGTCATGCTACCTGTCTTGCACAAAATATTTTTGGTTGACTCATGCTCACTCCTTCTTCCCTCACATCCTAACTGCTATTTATGACTCCTACAGGGTTGAGGTGGGAGGAAGGGAGGAGCAATAATTGGTGCAGGACAGTCCTAATTAAACTGACACTCTTCAAAGTTGGCTTTAGACCGTCTGTGCTTGCCAGGTATTTAAAACTAACTCTTTCCCTGTAGATACATTCATGATTCTTCAGAGATCATGGAACATTCAGGATGACATCAGTGATGCATTTTTCTCAGCCTAAACATCTTCTGTTTAGCCCCCAATTTGTTAGTTGATGGGAAGTCTCTGTTGAGGTCTAATCAATCCCCAAAAGGTCCTCTTAGGAGGATTGAAAATGACTCCAAATCACATCTTCTTGGTATCTACAAACTCTGGGAGGCCAGACCATTGACCAGAGCTTCCTCCTCTTTATTCATTCCAGTGAAGATGCTGGGCAGCCTGACTCTGCCCTTTGGATTTTACAGGTGGAAATTAGACAACTTGTCCACCATGTCTCCAAATTGCAGATGTGTTGGGGTCCCCAAGACCACATTCATGTTTGATGATTCATTAGAAGGACTTACAGAAATCAGAAGAACTATTGTACTTATAGTTACAGTTTATTGTAGGGAAAGGATACAGATTAAAATCAATAAAGGGAAGTCAGTTTTCCCCTCCCAGTGAAGTTGTACAAACAGCACTTCATTCTTCCAGCAGTGATGTGTGACAATATGTATAAAGTATTGCCAACCAGGGAAGCTCGCCCTAGCCTTGGTGTTCAGAGTTTTTACTAGGGCTCAGATACATAGACATGTAGTGCTCAACATGACTAACTTAGCTAGTTTCCAGGCCCTGCAAAGGTCAAATTGA